TCTCTCTCTCTCTCTCTCTCTCTCTCTCTCTCTCTCTCTCTCTCTCTGCCTTTGCATGCCAGACCCTGAGCCCAGTATACCACAGGGGAACAAAATGTCAGCATCTCCAGTTGCCAAGGGCTCTGGATTCTCTTCATGTGCAGAAGACACAGGCCCAGAGTTGTCTGCTGCCTAGAGCCAAGTCACACAGCAGTGAAGAGCCAGATCAGACCACAACACCCTCTGCCTCCCAGAGGCTCTCCTGTGTGTCTCTCAGCTGCCCTGCAAAATCCGTGCAACAAAGCCATGTGCTCCGAGCTGCTTGTAGGCAAAGAGCGGGGAGGGGGGGAGTGGAGGGGGGAGGAAGAAAATAGAACAGAGCAGCAGAGCTGAAATATTTTCCTTGGAGGGAAGGGAAATCAAATTTGATGAACCTCTGCATAATGCTAAGTTATGAATGTGCAAAGTGATATTCCGCACGTATGCTGGGAAGCACTCATCACGAGTCTGAGCAGTCCAGGGCTTCAGGAACTGGGGCTGGATGAGAAGCTGCTGCCAGGGTGGGGTATGTACGGTCTGAGCTGCTCCCTCAGCAGCACAGGGTGCAATTTCCCCAGCTGGATCATATCAAAGTATAGCACGCAGTTGTAGTGTTAGTGGGGCACCAGGGGCTTCAGGCTATTCACCAGAGCTCTAAGTACTGAGGGCTGCCCGCCTCAGGTCCTGGCTACTGATGCTGGGCTGGGACAAGCCCCTGAGCATGCTGGGAATAAATGGCCTCTTCTCTGTCAGGACACTGTCTGCAGATAAGGAGACTGGAGTCAAATGCCAGACAAGAGGAAGGCAGCATCCAGGGCTCTCAAGGATCACCAGGTCGCCAGGAAAGCACCTCATGAGTTCACACTAGGTTCCTGCCACCATCCTGGACACTCCAGGATGGTGCCATAAGTGACACCAGGTGATACCCCAGCATAAGTATGCAAGGCACACATGCAGAAAAGTGACCAGGAAGAGGGGTGAACTGATATGTACCCCAGGGGGAAGCACCACAGATGTAAAGCCCTGGAATAGAGCAGTCCTGGAATGCCTGTGGGAAAGGGGATGAGGCGGAGGAAAGACCAAGTCAGAGAAAGATCTGGAATAATGCAGGAGCCCATCCTCCACTCATGTGGCATATACGTCTGCCTTTACTTTAAAGAGACTTCAGGCCCAGTCTTCTTCCCTCTAATCTGCCATATACCCTGAGGGTGTGCTCCTGGGGCTGCTCAGCTCCACCCACTGAGAGAATTGCTTTTACCTCTTTCTCAGGCCCCTCCTCCCCACACCCAAGGACAGGGTACATGGCGTATCTGGAAGGTGGCTTCAAGAAACACAGGAGAGAAGAAAGGGGACGAGAAGGAGGGAAGGATCAGGAAAGATGTGCTCTTGGGCAGGCTCGAACTCAAGGCTTAGGTCCCACTGAGAGCAAGCTCACTGAAGTTTCTCCTGTGAGTAGGAAGCCCAGGCCTCCTTCCAGCACTGCTGAGAGCCTCCTGGACATTCTAGAAAGCACCATGCCTTTGCGAAAGCTGACTCCTGAGTTGGAGCCCTTACTCTGAGAGCCCCCCACACCTGCAGTAAGAGCCCCCAACATCCCCACATACACTGTCTGTGAACACTGGGCAGATATGACCATAGTTTCAGGACACCGCTGTGGACACAAGCAGATCCCTGGGTTTGATGCTGACTCTGCTTCTCATCAAGTGGCCTGATTCTTGGGGCCGTGGCCAGCTCCGAATAGGCTCGGACTCTGAACTGCAGTGACTTGAGCCCACTTCTTCCTTATTGTGCAGTTTTAAATAAGGATCGTCACATCTCTAAGTCTCATCTTCCTAATCCATCAAAGGAAGCTAGCAGTGCCCAGTGGGAAAGCTGAAGCATGCTGTTAGATGCCCAGACACTGGACCTGGCACAGCTATGTGAGACAGCCATAGCTGGATGGCTATCTCGGATTCCACTCAATGGAAGGAGGCATGGGCTATGGTGACACTCAATGGGAGAATAGTATTAGCATACATGAGACCTTGGGTTCTATTCCTGGCGTTGGGGGGAAACAGAAGCACCCAGGGGAAACACTGGGAGTGGAGACCCCAGGCCCATATCAGCAATTCTTAGACTCCTACAGACCCCTACATCCAGCTCAGGCAGGATGGTCTGTGTATGGCCAGGATATGAGGCACCTCTGTCCCAGCTTCTGCTGTCATCAGCATCCACCTAGGAGGTAGACAGAGTTCTGAGGGAAGCACTAGCCCTGACTGGGCGGGGCCACTTCCTGAGCATGCAGGAAGCGCTAACGAGAACAGCACCTCCCATGGCCCAGAAGAGATTCCAACAGCCAAAGCTAGGCAGGGTGGCATGAGATTGTAGCCAGCCTACAGGAATGACTTTGGATGGAGCTAGGAAATAAGAGGGAAGAACAAGGTGGGCTCAGAACCACTGAACTGAGGCTAGACTGGGGTGGCCCAGTTCACCCTCTATCTACCTGCTTATCCTGCCATGTCTTCCTCCCTCCATGAATCAATCCATCTGACTCATCTACCCATTTCCTTTCTACTTACCCACCTACCTACCTACCTATCCATCCACCTACCCAATCACCTACTAATCCAGTCACTCAATTATCCACATTCATCCAAGAACTTACCTACCCATCTGTCCATCCTCCCATTCATCTGTGTATCTCTGCAACCCTTACATATCTGTCCACTCATCTACTCATCTATCAACTCCCTATCTACCCACCCATTCACGTATCTCATATACTCATCCATCTATCCATCTATCTGCTACCCAGTCATCCACTCATTCATCTACTTATCCAGATTTAACCTTTCAACTGTCTGTCTATACATCCAAGCAGTCAGCTATCAGCCATCCATCTAACCATCCATCCACCCACCCATCCATCCATTCATCCATCCACCCACCCATCCATTCATCCATCCACCCACCCACCCATCTATCCATCCACCCATCCATCCATCCACCCAACCACCCACACATCTATCCATCTACCCATCCATCCATCATCCATCCACCCAAACACCCACCCATCCATTCACCCATCCATCCATCCATCCATCCATCCATCCACCCACCCATCCACACAACCACCCACCCATCTGTCCATCCACCCAAACACCCACCCATCTATCCATCCACTCATCCATTCACCCAACCACCCACCCATCTATTTATCCATCCATCCATCCATCCATCCATCCATCCATCCATTCACCCAAACACCCACCCATCCATTCATCCATCCATCCATCAATCCACCTGTCCATCAATGTATCCACTTATCCATCTAGCCACCCATGCACTATTTTTGACACCTACATTGTTCCTAGATCACTTCTGAAGACACAGGTGATTAGGTATTGTCCCTGACCTTGAGAAGTCACCAACTTCTGGTGGCCATCACCAACCCTACTGCGGGATCCCTTCTCACAACACTGTTACAGGGCTTAAGAAGGAAGCCCTGGTTCAGCCTCCTTCTGATTACAATTGAAGTAACCTGGGGCTGAATGGCTACTACTCACATGTTGTTCCCTTTTGAGTTTCCTGCAATCTGGTTGTATTAAGTCCTGAGCAATCTTATGTCCACAAAACATTTGATGTCCCAGAAATCCGAAAGTACATACTCTATCTTACCTAGTTTGTTCCACCTCCAAGATCACCTTAATCAGACCATTTGTTCCAGTTTTGAATGAGGTCTTTGGGTTACTGAGGTTAGGCCTTGGGCTTAGTACTGGGCCAGAGGGGACCACATGTGCACTGACCTCTCCCGGAAGTATTTGATGGCCTCAGGGTCTATGAAGGTCGGCTCCTCCCGGTATCCCTGCTCAAAGACCTTGCGCTTGTGCCGGAACTCGATGACTGTCTTGGTATAGGAGTTGAGCGTAGTGACAGACGCCGCCATGCAGCAGGTAAATGAACCCCAGGCCAAGCTGTCAAGAGACCGAGAGAGAGAGATGCCACAGTGAGGATGGGCATGGACAAAGAGCCTCATCCACACACTATTTGTCTACTTAGTATAGCTACAAGCCCTAAGACTTGGTTCCCACTCCACTTTGATCTGTAAGAAAGACTGTGGTCTTCACATTGTGACAAAGACACATTCCTTAGCCACTACTGTGAGAGCAAGGTGAGAGAGAATCAGGGACAGTTGTCCAGGATGCAGTAATGACAACAGTGGTCTTGGGAAGGTGGGGGAGGAGGGAACAGTACGCGAAAAGCTATGGAAGCATGAGACAGTGGAGTCCATGAGCACACGTAAACAGTGGGAGGCAGGGATGCTAGTATGGAGATGCCTAAAGATACTTACTTCAGTAAGTTGACTCTGGAGAAGGAGGCAGGCATGTTTAGTATGAGGGTTACAGTTACCTTTGCTCCCATATGTCCCTGGAAAATACTGTCGACCTCTGTGCCATGCACTCCTCACATCCAGTCTTGTGAATTGGAATTAAAAGAGATGGCCCTTGAATACACCAGACTAGGGCCAGCACATGGAGGCACACAGGGAAGGCTTGCTGTCATTACTGTCACTACCCAGAAAGGTGTTCTTACTCCTGCTGCTTTGTGATCCAGGATACAGGCAGGCCCACTGGGAAATGACGTGTTCTGATGTCCCTCTTGGCTGTCCACTCTCTGTCTCTCCTCCTGTACCTCCTGTAGCTGGACTGCTTGGCTGCCCTGACCTGATGAGTGCACTAAACTCACCCTAAAGCCAGACTCAGTTCTAGAAATGGCCTCCTGCCTGATTCTTTTGACCTGGATTGTACACTCACACTTAGTGCCAGGAGTGGGGAGCCTACCTGGCTCCAGTCCCACTGGCCTGGTTTCCTTCAGGCTAATAATCTTTTCTGATCTCAGTTTATGGGCTCATGTCTGCCCTCCCAGCACCACAGTACCTGCCGACAGCCCACTGTAGGTCTCTGAATACCATCATCCCTAATCCCTGTTTTAGGGCAGCCCTGCCTCCCTCTTGACAACATCCTGAATAAACTCTAGAAGGAGAGTAAAGGAAAAGTCCGTGGATTCAGCCTTTCTCAAATGGAGCTTCAATAATCACCTATTTCCATCCATGCCTAACCCACTAATAGGTTCCTCACATCTTTTGGACCTAATTTAGATTTTCTAGAAGCCTGGAGTGTCTATAATAGACATTTTTAAGGTGTCAGCCTCTCCAAGGATTTCCAGGCCCATTAAAGTGTGCAATGTGTCAGACACACACACACACACACACACACACACAGAGAGAGAGAGAGAGAGACAGAGAGAGAGAGAGACAGAGAGACAGAGAGAGAGACAGAGAGAGAGAAGAGAGACAGAGAGAGACAGAGAGAGAGACAGAGAGACAGAGAGACAAAGAGAGACAGAGAGACAGAGACAGAGATACAGAGATACAGAGAAAGACAGGGGCTGTGGCCAAAGCTGATCCAACCAAGTGCTCTCTCCCAAGCAATGGAGCTGAGATACCAGCTAAGTCAAGGGTGTCTCCTGACAGGAAACTCACAACCTGAGGTGGGAGAATGAAGAAATGAGCTTGTTTGGAGAATTCTGGAGTGTTAGTTTAACCTGCCCAGCATTCATTCCTGCTTCTGATAACAGTACTTCTATCCTTTCAGGGCCATAGTTTGTGTGGATCTGGCCTGCCTTTAGCCTCTAGAGGTGAGCACCTGACTAGGCCTGGGCAATTCAAGTATTGCTTCCTGTTGCTTCAGCCTTTAGGGATGGACTCATGGCCTAGGACTAGACATGGAGACACCATCTCAAAAGCTGTAGAGAAGGAGAGCCCATATGTCTCCTGGGTTACTGAGTTGGTGAGCTGTCTACCTGTAACTGCTTGGGACAGTCTTATTACCATCCAACCTGAGACTTAAGCTGGCCCAGGAGAAAGCAGAGGCAGTAATGAGCTGCCACCATTGTCCTTGAACCTGTCCCTCTTGGGAACCCAGGTCCTTTCCTTTGGATTTTTTTCCTCATCAGCTGTTTCATATTGGTTTTCTGACACAGGCGACAAAAATCCTTATTTACTTATCTATGTAAATACCTTCTTTCAGATAAGTTAGTTTTAGGGTGAAGTTTTAGTCCTTACAGTCAGAAATATTAACTTTAACTAAACCTTCACTCACACTCTGGATAGTTCCAACCAGAGGATGAAGCAGAAAGTCTGCAGGCAGAGATCCAAGCAAAGCAAAGGGCTGAAAAGGGTAGAGCCGAGTCTGCCATAGGGATGAAGCTAGCCCATCGGGATGGCGCCCAGGCTGAAGGGTAGAGCCCGGGCCATAGGGATTGTCCTGTTAACTAGACATCAGTTAGAGCTATCTAAGAAGGAACCACAATTGAGAAGTTGCCTCTATACAACTGTCACCACAGCCTGTGGGTGCATTTTCTTAATTAGTAATTGACGTGGCAGGACCACCCCCGGTAGGTGGTTGTGGATGGTATCAGAAAGCAGTCTGAGCGATTCATGAGGAGTGAGCCTGTAAGCAGCACTCCACCATGGCTTCTTCTTTAGTTCCTGCTTCCAGTTCCAGCCATGCTTAAGTTCCTGTCCTGACTTTTCTTAGTGATGAACTGCTGATGAACTGCTACCTGGGAGTGTAAGATGAAATCAGCTCTTCCCTCCCAGTTTGCTCTTGGTTATAGTGTTTCACCACAGCAATTGAAGCTTCACTAAGACAGGGAGGATCCAAAGCTACAGGGATGGATCCCAGGCTGTAGGGATGGATCCCAGGCTGTAGGGATG